GATTAGTAATTTTCTTACATTAAAAGATTGTTCTTGATATATTATTTCAAACTTTTATCATTTTTTCCTTTATAAACTTACAATAAATAGATTTTAGGTTTCACAAATTTATGAAAGACAAGCTAGAAAACTAATAGACTACATTTTATTGAGACTAATGAATAAGATAAATATAACACTTATCAATGCCCTTTGGACTTGATTCTCAAGGTAGAGCTGGTTAAAAGCTCCCAACATTGCCCATGTTACAGCCTGAAAATTGGTCTACTTTCATATTTAATGCACCAGATTAATTTGTCTGCCACTCTTAATCTCAGGCTACAACAAGGTCTCAGGATACAAACAAAATAGGGACAAATTTCCTGACAGTGTTCCTCATATAGTTTTATTTTTATTTTCATTTAGTACAGGGTCTTCAGGGTCTCACTACACAGATTGGATTTGTGGTAATCCTCCTGTTTTCAGCTTCCCAAGTGCTCAGATTACAGGCTATTATCACCACACCCAGTCTCCCACATAATTCAACAGAAAAACCTAGAGGAATAAGTTGTAACATGACATATTTCTCTGATATTAATTGTGCACTTGGGTCTTGAAAGCAGGAAATAATAAGAAAATCAAGATTGACAATGTTGGCATGTTTGAGAAGACAGAGTTCTGGGGTGCTTTTTCTGTAACTTGGCTTTGGCAGGCAGAGTAAGAGGAGGCACTGTTGTGAATATTTAAGATTTGTGATCCTGGCTGGTGGAAGGCACCAAGACCTTCCCCATGCTGTGGACCATTTCTAAACTTTCTGGAAGAGGTCACTAAGAACTGTTTTTGGAGGAGATTCTGTCTGACTGAAGATCATTGGACTTGTGCTGCTAGTCATCTCTTCTTGCCAACTAACCTTTAGTTTTGCTTAAGAGAAATGCATGTCTATAAGCTGTCACATGTCAACTACAAAAGAATACATAACTCCCAGAAGCTGATCTGTGAATGACGGTCACTTTGTGATATCTGTTGTTGTGCAGAATCCTGTAATCTAGGATTTTGATGTAAATAACATTGGATCAACCTTCACAACACTGAACACACAACATATTTACTTATTTTCTAGGCACATTCTTAAAATATAATATAATATGTTCATACAGGGTGTGGCTTTTTTCTCTTCTTTTGTGAAGGACTTCAGATGGATGCCTAATTTGTCTAACTACCGTATTATCTAATGGAGACATTTCTCCAGTGAAAACTTTGACAAAGCATCACGGCTTTTGTTCGTAACTGGGGTGGAACCCAGTCCCTTGCACACGAGGGATAAGTGTGTCCTGCTATGATGCACACAACCCTGCAGCCTTGAGGTTCTTCCAGGTCCATGTACTGCAGCCACAGAGAGGCCCTCACTGGGGGAGCAGGAGCGAGGGCAGACGGGTAGATGCCAAGGCAGGAGGTTACTTGCTCTGAACTGTTCCCTCAATTCATGGCACAAAGCACACTGTTCAAGTTCACATGAAAAGGAATTTTGGTCATACTTCCTATGCCTTGATCTTACCAGACCAACAAAATTAGTGCAGTGTTTAAGTTCAACATTACTGTTACTCAGGTATCATGAGATGTTATGACACATAGTCTTTGAAGTTACAAATAGAATATTTTGATGACCTGGTTTCCAAAATCAGGCGCACTTGGGTGTATATGTCTCAGACTAATGTGCTGGTAAAGTGACCTTGGAAACAAGAGTAGAGCTGACCCCAGAAAGGTGTAAAGGAAATAATACACTTAAAGTATCTTGTATAGTGTTTTGAAAATAACGCATCACACACATTCTCAATTATTAGCAACACTCATTAATATTTTGTTAACTTTTTAAACAGAAAGACATTTAAGTAAAAAACGTTCATCTATTGCCCAATCTTTAAAGCCAACCTAGGGGTAGAGGAGACGGTCTCTTATTAAGACAGCCCATTTTGATCACTTTTCTAATTTGCAGACAGAATTCTCCATGTGCATGAGGGCATTTAAACATAGTCCACTTCCTCTCTCCTATGAGGGACAGGACCCACTGGTTGTTTCTTTGTTTATTTGTGGCACTGGTGCCCAATGGTGGAGTCTCACACATGCTAGCACTGAGTAACCCCACTGAGTGACACCCCAGTCCTGGGAGCTGGACCCTTAATATTGTGATAGGTCATTAAAGATGAACTAATTCCATACCCCTTCTCTTTAAGTCTCTTACCCAGGCTATACTAACTCCTCTTTCTGAGTCACAGTATTCCTCCCAACAGCATGCTCTTATGAGCTAACCTGACTTGCCTCACTTCCTTACAGTTATTTCTAAGACTTTCACCCATGCGGACCTTCTAGATCCAAAGCCAAGCAAGTTCCTCCTCATCAATGTCACTCATGTGAAATTCTTCTGCTTTCAAAATTCATGAATAGTGCTTAGACAATATTGAATAACTGGGCCTTTGCATCCATCATCTTCTTCTAATCATCTCATTGATACTTGCATTTTCATTTTGAGAAATCATTAATGATGACAAAGGGCAGAAAACATTAAAACAGATGTCCCTGTACTGTGGCTTGTGTCTAGATGTCCCCACAAAGCCTCATGTGGTCATAGATGTAAGTTTTCAGACGTAGCAGTATCTACAGTGTATGATGCTACAATTAAGGTGTGTGATGACTACGAGTCCACTGACGGGTTTAGCATAGTTCTGGGTGGGATCAGGGGCACCCACATAGCTGGGTGCAAGTGCTGCCACCCCAAGAGCATGCAGCCTGATGAAGTATAAGGGACAGGAAGAGGCTGCGGTGCCCACTTGCCATTTGCCACTTGCTGCTTTGGCTGCCTTCTGCCCACCACGAACCGTTTCTCCCCCATGAAGCCACTCTGCCATGCTGCCTGGCTTGGAGCCAGCCAATTATGGCCCAAAAGCTCTACCAACTGGGAGCAGAAATGAACCTTTCCTTCTTTAGCTTTGGGTGTCTGTCCAGTTTGTCTCAGCAATGAGAAAAGTGATTTAAGATAACGTGACTTTATTGTAAATACCTTGGCTTGTAATGGCACATGGACGGAAGTTCCGATTACAAAATTTCTTGAATATTATAAATCAGTCTATCATTAAAGAAGGATAACATTCTTATGAAAGGTAAGACATTCTTTAAGGCTATTTGGACAGTGGCAAGAGTAGTAAGTAGTTGTGTCAAATGAAGAATCATTTAAAATAAAAATTCCCTCATCTTCCAAATTTGCTTTCCTAAACATGTAATATTTAGATCTGCTTTTAGGATTTATAATCAAGTCAAATAAAATTTATATACTTCACAGGCTTAGGTTTGGGTACTTAGAAAGTAGGATTCCCAGTCAGTGTTTTGAGATGGGCCTACAAATTTTTCAAATGTAAATGTAAAGGAAAGAATAAAAAGATAGACAGAAATAGATAAAAGCAGACTCTAAGTGGTCAGCTTCTCACTACTTTCACTAAATACCGGAGCACAGCATAATTCCTGCTGAGCCGGCTGGCCCCAGGCAGCATCGTGTCACTGCTGGAGTCCCTGTGCAGGAGTGTCTGTCTGTGTATGCCGTCTCCCTCTCCCGATAAAGCCAATAAGACTCTATCCAGGATTAGATACTAATGATCTCAGCTAATCACTTCCCAAAGACCTTACACGTGAAAACCAGGGTGGGATTACTGGTCTACCTGCTTAATGTCATTAACATAAGACCTTAGGGATTAAATGTCCACCTAGGTTCTGGGGTACAAATCATATTGATGCAATAGTCTCATTAATCGAAGTCTATGGTCCCATTAAGCAAAGAGAAACAGCAACAGAAGTTAATTCTTCCCAGTTTCTATTTTCTGCACCGGACATCAATTAACCTGTTCCAGTCCTAGGAAAGTTCTTCAGATTGTGCATTGATATCTTATTTTGCTGACAAGCAAACAGAAATTTCCAGAAGTTAAGTAACTAGGCCAAGATTTACATTTTATTCATTCAACAACATCTTTGAGAACCATCAACGGGGACTAAGATTTTAGCTGGGGAAGCACTGCAGCGACATAGTATTGTAAGGATACTGTGGGGGACAAAGTAGGAATTACTAGGAGGGGGAAAGAGAAGTCGGTGAAAACGGGTCGGAAATCCTTGCATGGGGACAGTACGAATCTAAACGACGTTGGATACCTCTCCAGGGTGACATCCGAACAAGTTGAAAATGTTAGTGTGTGAGGCGTGTGGCCATCTGGGACCTGGAACAGAGCTCTAGAGGCGGAGGGGACAGCTGGAGTCACCATCAGAAATCTGGCCATTGCAGAGAAACAGGAGCCAGAGCAGGGGACAGAGGGGAGAAGCTGGGCCACTGCTGCACGCGGCTACGCGCTCCCGTGTGCTCATTGGCCAATCAGCTCCCCGGGGCCCCTTTCTGGGTCTTCAGCTCCAAGTTGACATAATGCAACAGGACACATTTGGAAGGGACACTCTGCTGCGCCCCTGCGGAGGCCCAGGAAGTGGGGGAAAACGGGAAGGGCAGCAGCTGGGCAGCTCAGGCACTAACGTGACACAGAGAGGAGCGCACCTCGGGCCAGGGTGGCTGCACCGAAAATAAAAGGAGCCGGATTCTGGACATAATTTCAGAGCAAGCAGGATTTCTTCAAGGACTGGATGGTTGTGAGGAGTGAGGAAGAGAAACTTCGGCCGCTTTTCGTGGGTTCAGGCCCCAGTGACGCGAAGGATCTTGGAGCACACTGCAGCTCTGGACACGCTGGCCTCGGCTCACTGATTAGATACGGACGCCAAATGTTGAGAAGCCGTCCACGCATAAGAGTCGCGAGCCGTGCGGAGAGACCCGGCCGGAGGAATAAATGCGAGCCTCAACAGGGCATTTAAAACCATACTGGCTGATGGCATCACAGGGAGGGATGCAGGCGGAAGGGGGCCAAGTCTTGAGAGAAGCGGGGATAACAGTCTCCTGCCATCGTCTCGACTCTCCCTCAATGACTGTATAAATTCAGACCGGCAGATGGGTCATAGAACAAATTACAATGCGCACCTGACTGCTCCACAGGCCTGCAAGAAACCCTTCAAAGTATCTGAAATGTTATTTCCTGATCTTTGGACAGAATAACCCACAGATTTACCGCAACAGTGGGACACCCTTTCCTTCTGCGGAACCACATTCTCCACGGGCGGTGCCAAGGCGCCAAAGTCAGAGACCACACTAGAAAAGGTGACCCTGTCAACTGCAGGCGCGGACGTGTTTCCAGATGTGTGCGTGCCATTTGTAAGGAAGAGAAGTGCGCTTCATCACGTGAATCTGAAGCTCCTGCTACTTCAGACTCTTAAAAACTCCTCCAACACTTGAAAATCAGGCCTATTTCTAAACCGGCGTGATTACATGAAAACTAGTGACCTTGCCCTTCCTTTCATGGCTCACGCCACAAAAATTAATTATCAGTCCCGTTCTGCTTCGTTAGTCTACGTGACCCAAAGCCACACCCGGGTGCCCCCGAGGCCTCGTGCTGCACGGCTTTTCTGTAAGGTGAGGAGCATCTGGCGAGGAGAGCAGGGGTCACTCGCGGTCGCCAGACGCACGCACAACGCTGGGGCAAAGAAATTCCTCAGCGGCTGCCTTTCGGATGCACAGTCCACGGCTGTGCGAGCGGGACCCAAGGGAGGGCGCCCTGGAAATAAGACCTCGGCACCTGGCGCAGCCTGCCTGGAGCAGACCCAGCCCCGGCGGGACAGACGGCGCGCCCCAGCTGCTCCGAGCGCGCTGCGCAGCCGGCAGGGGCCGCGGCGTCCGCCAGCTTCCGCCGCCCTCCGCCGCCAAAGCGGAAGCGGCCTCCG